GGCCTTATTATCTTCAGGTCCTATTTTCTCTGATTAACATAATTACTAAAGTAGAAGCTCCTTTAGTTATACAATTTTAAACTACAGAAAGACTGGTGTGGCATCCGTCTTTTGTCATGCTTGCCAGCTCTCTGTTTTGTAGCTGTAATTAGATACTGTGTATCAGACCAACAGAATTGATCACAGCAATAGCCTGTTGGAATATAACACCCATTATTAGATCCACAGTATAATAGAATATAAAATAATTTGCAGTGATTATAGTACCTGAAACAAGGCAGTGGAATTATTGAAAATTGTAAAAGAGCTACCAGTATGGGAATGTTCCTGTCTGTAGGCAAAATTTCTCAACTCAGAATTAAATCTGATGTTCTGTTTTAAAAATGATTTCATCACTGTCTCTGAACCAGCAAAAACATTTTCCAGGACCTTCAGCAGCATAGCTGTTTCTCTTTTGTCCTTAGGCTCAAAGCATGGAGTTGTGTTGTTGGCTGCCTTTTTTTCTTCCCTTGCTTCAGGCATTTTGGTGATAGTCTGTATTTAAATTTGCTGTCTGATGTCCTACATAGGGAATAAGCTTCTTCCTAAAGATAACTATCAAGAATATCCAAACCAGTTTTAATATGACTGACATTTCAAGGTCCTATTTTGCATTAATCAAGTATTTTACCAGGTGTAAAGCACTGTTACAATAAAGAAACTGAGTACAGTCTCATAATTTAATTCTAAACTTCCCATCCAGGAGTCTGCTGGATAGATACTTGAGAATAAAGCTTTTTGACATTCAGGTTTAAATGGAAAGAAAATGAGAAACCAGATAAAGCAAGCCAACCAAATTAATTCACCCTGTATTCCTCTCTGCCTTTTCAGTGGAACTCACAGAAATTCTCTCCGAGAGAAATTTGGGAATCCCTCATGAAACAATCCTTTTAGTGTTTTAGTGTTTACAGAATATCCACTTTTGTGCTTTGTGTTTGAGCATAAAAAGAGAAACCTTTTGCTGTTCTCCATCAGACCCCCACAGGTTCTCCTGGGCTTCCAAAAATTTTCCATAGACGCTATTCTCTTTTCATATGAATCGAAGAAAAAAACCTACCCCACCCACGCCCCTTCCTGGGAGAAGACAAACAGGCACAGATACATAGGCCAACTGTGTACTTAACTCTGACCCCCTCTGCAGGGTCCCACATTCCTAAAGGCAGCCCCAGGGACAAATGTCCTGATCCCAAAGCTCCAGTCACTTCAGTTATGTATCATTACAACAACTGTTGGTCAAGAAGTACTTGGTGCAGCTGGTTCGCTTTATTCCTTCTCATATTCCCCTAATAACAAGAGCATTGACTTAGAAATCAGGAATTTGGGGTTCTGGTCCTACTTCTGCCCTTGAATCATTTTGTGAGCCTGACAAGTCACTTGACCTCTAGAAATCTCAGGTTCTCCTGTGTATCACAAAAGGACTGAATTAGAATGTCCTCTAAGACATCTCTTGTCCTCCACTCATGTTCCTTTTAACAACTGGATCATTCAGATAATGATTCCTTGAACACACATTTATCAAGTGAATGTTAGGCACTCTGTCAGTCACAGATTGAACAAGTTGAACACGATATGTGCCATGAGTGGGTGTGCAAACTCTAGGGGGTGCCAGAGCTGTCAACAAGCTCTAACGAGGTGTCAACAACAAGATTTGTTTATTGCTGACATCAGAGCTTAGTGCCTGCCACATACTAATACTTAATAAATATTTGTCAAATGAATGAATAATATTTGAAATATGATGTGTGTGCAGGCTTAGTCGTGTCCGACTCTTCCCAACCCCATGGGCTGTAAATATTTGAAATGCTAAGTGAAAACAAGAATATTCACATTGTATCATGCAGAACAAAGAAAAGAGGGATTCATTTTAACTTGGAGGATATAGAAAGGATTTCACCAAGGAGGCAGTATTTGAATTGAGTTTAGAAGACTGGAAAGGTTTTTGACAGAGAAGAGGGTAAAGATGAGGATGTTCTAGACTGAAGGAAGAGCACAGAGAGACATGAAAGTGTTTGTCCACCTAATGGCCATCAGCCTGGAAGCTGGAATCAGGTATGAAGAGGGAGGAGCATTTCAGGCAGAAGGAACAGCATGGGCGAAGACTTGGTACCGGAAAGAAACATGGTGAATGTGAAGAACTGGGAGAGGTTAAGCAGAATCACATGGTTTTAGGAAGAGTATGCTGCAGTCCATGGAGTCGCAAAGACTTGGACACTACTTGGCAACTGAACAGCAACAACAGTACAAAATGAGGCAAGAGAGGTAAATGGGGACTGATTTATAAAGAGCCTTGTAAACCCTGTTAAGTAGTTTGAAGATGTACTGGAAAGAAGTGACACGAGCAGGTTTTCAGTTTGGAAAGTCCACTCTGGCTGTACTGTGCAGAATGAACTGAGGGGATGGGCGGGGAGACCTCTTAGAGGCGGTAGTAGCAACAGTGCTCCAAAATAACCCGCATGACTGGGAAGTTGATGGTCATATTAATAGAGGTAAAACAAGCACCCAAGGGTGAGGAGGCTGGAGGTAGTAAGACCGCCCTGTACAGAGAGATGGGTGTGTTCTGGGGGCTGGAACTCAGCAGAAGTCAGAGCTGAGAATTAAAACGTGTGAATTACTTGCATACAGGTGGTGGATCTCGTCCTCCTTTAAGAGCAGTGATAGGTGGCGTCGCCCTGGGATATGGCAGAGGCAGAAGAGAAAGGGGCCAAGGACAGACTGTCTACATTTTAAAGGAAACAGAGCCGGGGAAGAACGTTGAAAAGGTTGCTTAGTGAGACAAAAGAATGCTAGCAGAGTTCACTTGAAGTATCCACAGAGGAATGAGTTTCAAGGAGTGTCTTAAGATTTCAGTTTCCTTCTTTCTTTATATTTAGATGGAGTATTATTATGAATATTGTTATCAAAAAGTCACTGTCATTCTGAATTATCCTAGTTTAAGTGAAGTTGCTCAGTGTGTCCGACTCTTTGTGACCCCATGGACTGTAGCCTACCATGCTCCTCCATCCATGGGATTTTCCAGGCAAGAGTACTGGAGTGGGTTGCAGTTTCCTTCTCCAGAGGATCTTCCCGACCCAGGGATCGAACCCAGGTCTCCCGCATTGTAGGCAGACGCTTTACCGTCTGAGTACCAATTTCAAGATGATTTCATTACTTATAGCAAGACTTTTCTCCTAAGAAAAATGAAAGTCAATGGAAAAATATTTGCCTAAAATTCACTTCTTAGCCATGCTTTTATGTAAATATGGTGATGCACACATGCACTATGGGATACCATTGATCTCATATTACACTAAGAATATATTAATCTTTTTAACAGAACCTTTTTCCACTAGATATAACATGATCATGTGCAAACCTGGAATATTTTAGGTGTTATTTTTGTCTACCAATTTTCTGTTTCCTTTAATCACTATTAAGTAGTTAAACTGTATTCCATTTAAAAAACAAAACCATTACCTTTTTTATCCTTGTGTTTCAGTTTGGCCTTCCACTCAACAAGCATTTATCAAACACACCCTATGGGAATGGCACTGTTGGGTGCTGGGGTACAAAGGAAACTCCTAGTAAGGTCTCCTCAACTAACCTGTTTTCAAGTAGGCAGCCAGACTTGTATTAATAGTTAATGAGATGGCAACTCGTTACAACTGCTCACAGAACTCCTAACAAGATACCATAAGATAAACAATAATAGAATAGAGCGAGGAAAGGTGAGATCAGGGCACGCTTTGTAGAGAAGGTGAGAGTTGAACAGAGTTTTTAAATATGAAAATGTCTGGAGATGAGAGGGCTGGGGGGGAAACCGAATTCCTAGTAGAGGTAATGATTTAGGTTTCTTGAACTGTCTGATTCTGTGGTGAACCAGCAGCACTTTTGCCCAGGTTAGCTTCCAACTGTGGATGAAATGGGAAAGACGGTTAGAGTCAAAGAAAATTTGCTTTTCATTATAATAACTCACAGTCTGAAAGTGATAACGATGAGCATCTCACTGCTCACTATGAGGTACATTGTGATGAGCATTGTGACGTGGAAACACATCATAGCAACTTGCACAATTCCCATCGCCTCCTTTCTTTGGGGGAGCTCAAATGAGACAGTCTTCCTTTTGCCCTCTCTCAGTTTTCTTTCTTGCCATTTACTATTTCAGATGAAACTATTCAAGTGCAAGTCCCTAGCACTGAAAGTGTTGATAACAATTTACATCTAGAAACTTGGACCAGGCTCATAATTCATATTCAATAGATAAATTTCAGTTCCTCTCCATTCTCTCAATCCCTTTGATTTGTAGTAAATATTACTTTGTCTGTTATGTTCCAGGTACTTTCCCCATTATACCCTAGGTACTTTGATGATATTAATGAATAAAAAGGACAAAGATCCCTGACCTGATGGAACGTACATTTTAGTAATCATGACAACGGTTCTGGAAAAATTGCTTCTTTTCTCCCACTGGGTTATTATTATAATTAGGTTGCTACCTAAGAGAGTGATTTTCTTTCATGGGCCTTGGATAGACACTGGGGCGAGAAGACATTTTTTATTTTGGGGCAAAAAGACTTTTTTGTAGTTGGGGGTTCTGTGAGGATAGACCAATATGAGGTGGCATGTTTTCTCTAGTTTATCTTGTAAGAGATGAAAGTTTGAAGGAACTAAAAATAGAGTGGTTTCAGAGATGGATAAGTGGGTGAAGGGAGAAATATTTAAAGACAAGTTATTTGAAGCTGCCTGGCCTTGACTTCAGTAAGGAGAGAGAGAGAGAGAAGACAGCCACAGAATGACTAGTCATCACTTAAACTTGGGAATACTTTAAATAGACAGAATAGAAACAGTGAAAAAGTAGAATCGACTAAACAGCAGAGAATTCTGTTACAGCAAAAAAAAATCCAATTATTAAAAATGCAATAAATTTGACATAGAGTACTTTCCATTTTATTTTTTTTATAGCTCTTTCATTTGTTATTTTACAGATGCTGTGCCTGTTCCCTCAGAAAAAAGCCCATCTCTGCAGACAAATGTGAATCTGGAGAACAACTCAGACAGTACCATTACAAAGACCATCACAGGAAACCCTTTGCAAATGCCTTTAGAAAAGCAGCCAGCTGCAAAAAGCTGTGACACATTGACAACTTTGTCAGCACATTGGCCAACTAGTCGAGAAGAGTTCATTGGCCCTCATTTAAGGACATCAGAATCGGATCCTCTTTTCCGTAACCAGGCATCTGTGGAGACGCTGTATGTCTCTCCCTCATTCACAACATCTGACCCAATGAAAGAGACTGGAATCAGTAAGGGTTGTCAGCAAGCGACGCAGCCCGGCCTGGCTCCGGTGGAGGGTGAAAACCTCGAGGCCTCAGCCGCGTGGGGTGAGTCTACAAGAAGCCCCTCTTTTGAAGCACTCGTCTACTTTTCTCTGCTTTCTGCCTGCTGGTTTGTTGCCTTCTCTTAGTCTCCACCCACTGGTATGAAGAGAGGTACTTCTGAGTTGGGAACGTGCCCCTTTTATTAAGGGCTAATAGCAGATCATCAGCATGGTTACCTGTGCTTGAGTGAAGCCCATGTTCTGAGCAATTTTGATACAGAACAAATTAGAAAGAACTAGCATTAAATAGGAGAAGGCAATGGCAACCCACTCCAGTACTCTTGCTTGGAAAATCCCATGGACGGAGGAGCCTGGTAGGCTGCAGGGTCGCAAAGAGTCAGAGACGACTGAGCAACTTCCCTTTCACTTTTCACTTTCATGCATTGGAAAAGGAAATGGCAACCAACTCCAGTATTCTTGCCTGGAGAATCCCAGGGACAGCGGAGCCTGGTGGGCTGCCCGCTATGGGGTCACACAGAGTCGGATATGACTGAAATGACTTATCAGTAGCATTAAATAAGAGCTTCCTGTCAAACATTTAGGTTTCTTATTTAAAAACTATGTGAGAGAAAGTGACTAGTGTGTATATTGGTGTGTATGCATACACATACATCCATATGGGTATGTATGTGTGTGTTTTCCCGTTTTTATTTTTTTTTTAATTTATTTATTTATTTATTTATTTATTTTATCACAACCATAGTGTATCTTTTTTTTTTTTTTTACATGTATTCCCCATCCCGGTCCCCCCTCCCACCTCCCTCTCCACCCAATCCCTCTGGGTCTTCCCAGTGCACCAGGCCCGAGCACTTGTCTCATGCACCCAACCTGGGCTGGTGAACTGTTTCACCCTAGATAATACACGTGTTTCAATGCTGTTCTCTTGAAACATCCCACCCTCGCCTTCTCCCAGAGTCCACAAGTCTGTTCTATACATAGGAGTCTCTTTTTCTGTTTTGCACATAGGGTTATCGTTACCATCTTTCTAAATTCCATATATATGTGTTAGTATACTGTAATGGTCTTTATCTTTCTGGCTTACTTCGCTCTGTATAATGGGCTCCAGTTTCATCCATCTCATTAGAACTGATTCAAATGAATTCTTTTTAATGGCTGAGTAATATTCCATGTTGTATATGTACCACAGCTTCCTCATCCATTCATCTGCTGATGGGCATCTAGGTTGCTTCCATGTCCTGGCTATTATAAACAGTGCTGCGATGAACATTGGGGTACACGTGTCTCTTTCAGATCTGGTTTCCTCGGTGTGTATGCCCAGAAGTGGGATTGCTGGGTCATATGGCAGTTCTATTTCCAGCTTTTTAAGAAATCTCCAGACTGTTTTCCATAGTGGCTGTACTAATTTGCATTCCCACCAACAGTGTAAGAGGGTTCCCTTTTCTCCACACCCTCTCCAGCATTTATTGCTTGTAGACTTTTGGATAGCAGCCATCCTGACTGGTGTGTAATGGTACCTCATTGTGGTTTTGATTTGCATTTCTCTGATAATGAGTGATGTTGAGCATCTTTTCATGTGTTTGTTAGCCATCTGTATGTCTTCCTTGGAGAAATGTCTGTTCAGTTCTTTGGCCCATTTTTTGATTGGGTCATTTATTTTTCTGGAGTTGAGCTGGAGGAGTCGCTTGTATATTTTTGAGATTAATCCTTTGTCTGTTGCTTCGTTTGCTATTATTTTCTCCCAATCTGAGGGCTATCTTTTCACCTTCCTTATAGTTTCCTTTGTTGTGCAAAAGCTTTTAAGTTTCATTAGGTCCCATTTGTTTATTTTTGCTTTTATTTCTAAAATTCTGGGATGTGGGTCATAGAGGATCCTGCTGTGATTTATGTCGGAGAGTGTTTTGCCTATGTTCTCCTCTAGGAGTTTTATAGTTTCTGGTCTTACATTTAGATCTTTAATCCATCTTGAGTTTATTTTTGTGTATGGTGTTAGAAAGTGTTCTAGTTTCATTCTTTTACAGGTGGTTGACCAGTTTTCCCAGCACCACTTGTTAAAGAGGTTGTCTTTTTTCCATTGTATATCCTTGCCTCCTTTGTCAAAGATAAGGTGACCATAGGTTCGTGGATTTATCTCTGGGCTTTCTATTCTGTTCCATTGATCTATATTTCTGTCTTTGTGCCAGTACCATACTGTCTTGATGACTGTGGCTTTGTAGTATAGTCTGAAGTCAGGCAGATTGATTCCTCCAGTTCCATTCTTCTTTCTCAGGATTACTTTGGCTATTCGAGGTTTTTTGTATTTCCATACAAATTGTGAAATTATTCGTTCTAGTTCTGTGAAAAATATCGTTGGTAGTTTGATAGGGATTGCATTGAATCTGTAGATCGCTTTGGGTAGTATAGCCATTTTGACAATATTGATTCTTCCAATCCATGAACACGGTATATTTCTCCATCTGTTTGTGTCCTCTTTGATTTCTTTCATCAGTGTTTTATAGTTTTCTATGTATAGGTCTTTTGTTTCTTTAGGTAGATATACTCCTAAGTATTTTATTCTTTTTGTTGCAGTGGTGAATGGTATTGTTTCCTTAACTTCTCTTTCTGTTTTCTCATTGTTAGTGTATAGGAATGCAAGAGATTTCTGTGTGTTAATTTTATATCCTGCAACTTTACTGTATTCGTTGATTATCTCTAGTAATTTTCTGGTAGAGTCTTTAGGATTTTCTATGTAGAGGATCATGTCATCTGCAAACAGCGAGAGTTTCACTTCTTCTTTTCCTATCTGGATTCCTTTTACTTCTTTTTCTGCTCTGATTGCTGTGGCCAAAACTTCCAAAACTATGTTGAATAGTAGTGGTGAGAGTGGGCACCCTTGTCTTGTTCCTGATTTCAGGGGAAATGCTTTCAGTTTTTCACCATTGAGGGTGATGCTTGCTGTGGGTTTGTCATATATAGCTTTTATTATGTTGAGGTATGTTCCTTCTATTCCTGCTTTCTGGAGAGTTTTAATCATAAATGGATGTTGAATTTTGTCAAAGGCTTTTTCTGCATCTATTGAGATAATCATATGGTTTTTATCTTTCAATTTGTTAATGTGGTGTATTACATTGATTGATTTGCGGATATTAAAGAATCCTTGCATTCCTGGGATAAAACCCACTTGGTCATGATGTATGATTTTTTTAATATGTTGTTGGATTCTGTTTGCTAGAATTTTGTTAAGGATTTTTGCATCTATGTTCATCAGTGATATTGGCCTGTAGTTTTCTTTTTTTGTGGCATCTTTGTCTGGTTTTGGAATTAGGGTGATGGTGGCCTCATAGAATGAGTTTGGAAGTTTACCTTCTTCTGCAATTTTCTGGAAGAGTTTGAGTAAGATAGGTGTTAGCTCTTCTCTAAATTTTTGGTAGAATTCAGCTGTGAAGCCATCTGGTCCTGGGCTTTTGTTTGCTGGAAGGTTTCTGATTACTGTTTCGATTTCCTTGCTTGTGATGGGTTTGTTAAGATCTTCTATTTCTTCCTGGTTCAGTTTTGGAAAGTTATACTTCTCTAAGAACTTGTCCATTTCTTCCAAGTTGTCCATTTTATTGGCATAGAGCTGCTGGTAGTAGTCTCTTATGATCCTTTGTATTTCAGTGTTGTCTGTTGTGATCTCTCCATTTTCGTTTCTAATTTTGTTAATTTGGTTCTTCTCCCTTTGTTTCTTAATGAGTCTTGCTAATGGTTTGTCAATTTTGTTTATTTTTTCAAAAAACCAGCTTTTAGCTTTGTTAATTTTTACTATGATCTCTTTAGTTTCTTTTGCATTTATTTCTGCCCTGATTTTTAAGATTTCTTTCCTTCTACTAACCCTGGGGTTCTTCATTTCTTCCTCCTCTAGTTGCTTTTGTTTTCCCGTTTTTAAAAGAGCTGTGTACGGATTACAAAAAAAAGGGGGGGGGAGTAGAGAATCTCTTCCCTCTTCTGTCTTACAAAACATTGAGAGGGTTGCAGTCTTGTTTAGACTGGTTGATAAAGGATAAAGCCAGTTGAGATTCCAGGTCACTGGCCATCAGTTGTTAAATCCTACATTTTATAATTTATACTTTCTTCTGTAGAGTTAATTAGTAAAAGAATTACCCACTTGGTCCATACCCCTGGTGGCTCAGATAGTAAAGAACCTGACTACAGTGAAAGAGACCTGGGTTCAATCCCTGGGTTGGGAAGATTACCTGGAGAACAGAATGGCTACCCATTCCAGTATTCTTACCTGGAGAATTCCATGGACAGAGGAGCCTGGCTGGCTACAGTCCACAGGGTCTCAAAGAGTCGGACATGACTGAGCAACTAACACTTTCACTTTTTTTTCATTTCAAAGACTAAGCTGTTTATTGATTCTCATGTGTAATAATACTTACTAACTCATAATTTTTTAAATATGAACTTTTAAAATATAAATCCTTTAAACTGCCTCAGACTCAGGTCAGAAGTACAATATAAATACAACAATGGAAGCCAAAATTGTTTGAGGTTAAAGAAACTTACCTTGATGCTGGTAAGGTCAGTGACTAGTAAGAGATTCTTCATACTGCTCTTCCCAGAATTTTTTTTAATTAAGTACCTAAAAATAAAACTAATTCTTAGTTTCATCACAAAATTAACTTTTCTGCTGAGATTACTGATGGAGAAACCAATTAGTACTGGTTATGATAGCCAGTGCATGTTATGATTAGCTCATGTGCATGCTGTCCCCTGGGAAGCTGTTACTTTGGTTCATTTCTTCCACAAATACCACAAAAAGAAAATTGAAAATACTTTTGTCACAGCTTGTATATCAAGTACATTTAATTATGAAAAATTACAAGAAGTTCCTCTAAAACCAGTTAGCAAGGAAGACTTTTGCTCCTACTTGTAATGAAACAGATAGCATTAGTCTAATCCTCCACCAACAGTATTGGTTAAAGCTGGAAAACTATTCGAAATCATTATAAAAACAACCAAGGTAGAAAACACCTGATGGTCAGGCTCCTAGGGGAAAGGATTGTAATACTGTGATGCAATAAGTAA